AGAGAGAGAGAGAGAGAGAGCGCGAGAGAGAGAGTGATGGGGGAGGGAGCCGGGAGGGACAAATACAAAAAGGGGACGTGAGAGATAAACGAATAGCCACCCATTCAAAAACAAAATCAAAATCACAAAAAATAAAACACCCAAAAACACCAAAAAAACAACAACATTGACTAAACCCACACGGACAGCGTTTAAGTACAACCATATCAAACGAACAAAAATACCACCCCAGCACAAAGAGGGACTTGAACCCATGTCCCTCGGAGCACAGCCCAGCTATCCGCAATACTTGCCTGTTGTTGGCGCCAAAGAGCGGCATGGGCCGGCCACAAAACCAGCAATACTCCAGCTGATAGCTGGCGGCGATCGACTCTTTCTTCATCAACGAGGCCAAGTCCTGCTCAGCCCCGCGCTCCGTCGAAGAGGAAGACGACGAAGAAGAACCGTGCCCCCTTTCGGCAGTTTCCGTAGAAGAAGGCATTCGTCCCCTTTCGGCAGTTTCCGTAGACGGCATTCGCCCCCTTTCGGCAGTTTCCGTAGACGCGTTCCGGAGTTCTAGATACGAGAGCAGGGCGGGGCTAGGACAGCCGGTGGGCGAAGGAGAAAGAGGAGATAATTGTGGGAATTCCCGGACTCCGCCCAATGACGCACCGGCCGGCACAGCGGATGTGACGTAGTCAAGCCGGTTGCCAAGGACGCAGTCACTACGGAAGCAAGCAGCTGATGAGGCAGAGGAGGAGGGTGGTTGTTTGCGGTAGCAGGAGGAGGAGGAGGAGGAGGATGAGGAGGCAGAAGAGGTGGTGGTGGTGGTGGTTTTTGACGGGGTGGGAGGGGTTGGTGTCGCGCTAGGGAGGAGGCGGGAGGATGAGGTGGGCGACTGCTGTTGTTGTTGCTGCTGTTGTTGATGATGATGTTGCGATGAGGGTGGTAGTCGAGGCGAGTCTGCAAGATGGCGGAGGGGGATTCCCCTAGAGTTGTGTGCGGGGAACAAAGAAGTTGTCGGGGAACCGGACGACATGTTCAAATCTCTCAGACTAGGAGGGGTGAGTTCTTTGCTTAGAGATGAAGTCGACGACATGGACGAAGAAGGGGTCAATGACAGAGGGTCCGTGACGCTACTACCTCCAACGACACCGATACCGCCACCGACACCTCCACCACCGACACCGATACCCAGCCCGCTCAGCTGCTGAAGGAGAAAATGGCGGCCCTGCTCCAGTTTGACTTGATCCAAAAGTTTGTGGTGCAGTGCTGGTGAGTAGGGTGAGCCAGGGGGGTGGGGGTGATGGGGGTGGGGGTAATCCGGAATGTGCGACGACGACGATAACGGTAACGGGGACGATGACGCTCCAGCAGAACCTGCCGACGTGGCTAACTGTCTCGCTTCCCGCCTCAGATGAGGCGTGCGGTGCGAAGGCGTCCCTAGCGACGGGGAGTTGTGATAAGAGTGCGGGTGAGACGAGGGCGAGTATTTGGCGGGGGAGGAAGAGGAGGAGGAGGAGGGGGGGAGGTCCCTCACAATGTTGTCAAGGCGACCCGTGACAGACGGGGAGGAGAAGGAGAAGGAGGAGGAGGAGGGAGCGAGTATGTCTTTGGGGAAGAGTTTGAGCTTCAGATCACTCTTCGAGCCGTGTGGCGAGGGGTATGGTGACGTCACGACCGACGATGACCTATGCGGTGACGTCACGGATGACGAAGACGACCTATGTGGTGACGTCACAGCCGACGACCTTTGCGGTGATGGTGACGTCACGACCGACGACGACCTATGCTGTGATGGTGACGTCACGACCGACGACGACCTATGCTGGTTCTGAAGCCACAGATCTGACAGCGCCGTGACTGATAGGTCGGCAGGGAGGAAGTTGTAGCTGCTGTTTTTGTCAGCGTGTTGGTTCGACCCCGGCTGTTGCTGCTGTTGCTGATGTAGCTGCCTGCGTGAGTGGCCCTCGTGTCGATCGTTGGAGTAGTGAGCACCGCCCGTGCACGGAAGTTCTTTCATCTTACTCACAGATGCCGAAATAATGCTGCTTTCCGCGGTCCCAGCCCGGGTTCGGAACTCCTCCCCTCTATTCTCAACGGTAGTGGGTGTGGTGGTGTAGGTGGTAGAGTCAAGACAGTCACCACGTGGTACAGCGGCCTGATGACGCGCCGAGGTGTGGCGTGGGGCGGTTGGAGGGGAGTCCGCGAAGTGGACTGAAAGAGATGAGTTCGAATCTTTCTTTCCAAGTGAACTCACCTGTCTTTGAGCCGAGGTGTGTGAGGAGGAAGAAGAGGAGGAGGAGGAGGAGGAGGCAATGGCTGACCTCAGATGTTGACCTCTCGGGTTGCTGGATGTGGTGGGAGAGGTGGGTAAAGAGGCGCTCTTGTACACTGACGACAGCGACTGGTGAGGGGAGAAACGTTGTTGTTGCTGCTGCTGTTGTTGTTGTTGTTGCTGCTGTTGTTGTTGCTGCTGTTGTTGTTGCTGCTGTTGTTGTTGCTGTTGCTTATCCCGAGAGAAATTATCCATCGTTATATTTTTGTCTGAAGACGACGATGATGATAACAAAGACGAGAACAACGACGAGGACGGGGGAGGCGCCGATATTCCATCACGTGGGAGCGAACAGCTTCTCTTGGCAGCCACGCCAGATGATAAAGGGGAGGTGGTGGTAGTGGTGGCGGTGGAGGGGGGCAAAGACTCGCCGCCGCCCTTGGCAGCAGCAGAATCTGCGGCGGTAAACGAGTTACTTCTAAGCACGGCTTTAGTCGCATCCCTCCTCACCCCGGCTTCGCGACTAGCACTACTTCCACCACTACTACCACTACCACTACCACCACCACCGACAACAACCACACCACCACCGTTATAACAGCCACTACCACTACCACCACCACCACTACCACCACCAGTCTCGTCACCATTCTCGTGAGATACGCCATTCACCCTGCTCCGGCCGACAACCGAAACGTCACCGTCAGAGCACGACGTCACAGGAAGACCGTCACGATACGACCGAGCACCCACCTGGGTTTGTTCATCATTGACCCCACCTCCCCCTCCCCCACCACCACCACCGACGCCAGAAATATCACCAGAAGCCATAACGTCACTCCGACCACCACCACCACCAGCAGTATCGTCCGAAAAAGAAGCGAAACGAACATGCTGGCTCCGACCCTTCACGGCTACGGCCGACACACCACCGTCACCGTCACCGACTCCGTCACTCCCATCCGGCACTGAGGTCGGAACGAGGTCAAGGAGACCCGGGTCGTAGTTCAAGGTCGCGGCCTTGTCCGTGGCCTTGATGTAGCTGGGGATCCCCCCGTTGAGTGAGCGGGTGACCCCATTCTTTCCCGCCAGGGCCAGACTCCGGGCTTTGGGGCTCACCCGTGGGTTCATCTAGAACCTTCTCTGGAACGTTCTCGGGAACTTCTCTGAAATCTTCTTTGGAACCTCTGGAACTTTCTCTGTCCGAGGTGACACACTTTGAGACGGCTCACCACCACCAGCTCTCAGTCAGTCCATCATAGTGCGACAGTTCAAAGGTCAGCTACACACGTTTCCAAATGAAACAGAAGACGTTCCCAATCCATCGCGAGGGTCCATAGGTACACACTTTCAAATTACCAAAATATATAACAAACCAGTTTTTAATTCATTGCGAGATTGCGTAAATACACACTTTCACATTGCACACGAGCTCTCAGTCCATTGCGAGAGTTCAAATAAGGTACACACTTCCAAACTACACAGCAGTTCTTAATAGTCCATCGTGAGATTCCAACGTCACACACTTATAAATAACACACCAGTTCTCAATCCACTGAGAGGGCCCATAAGTAACCACTTCCAAATGACACACCAGTTCTCAACCAGTCCCGTGGGTGCGTCGATACAAAATGTCTTTACAAAAAGGCCTATATCCAGACAAAGATTTAGTTTTAGTTTTAGTGAGAGTTTTAAGGCGCTTGCAACACAATAAGGTCATATAAGTGAGGGGGAAAAGGGG